CGGGGACCTCCCCAGTGTGTCCCAGTGTCCTCCCAGTTTGTCCCAGTGACCCCCATTGTCCCCCAGCGTCCCTCCAGTGTGTCCCGAGTGTGTCCCAGTGCCCCTCAGGTGTGTCCCATGGCCCCCCAGTGTCCCCCATTATGTCCCAGTGCCCCTCCAGTGTCCCCCCAGTTCCCCCAGTGTGTCCCAGTGTCCCTCTGGAGATGGAGGGACAGACAGAGCACGGAGGGCAGATCCTGGCCCATTCGTGTGTCCATGTGTCTGTCCGTGTGCTCGTGTCTGTGCATCTGTGTCTGTGTGTCCGTCTGTGTGTCTGTGTCTGTGTGTCCGTGGGTCTGTGTGTCCATGTCTATGTGTCCACCCGTGTCTATCTATGTGTTCATGTCTGTGCATCTGTGTCTGTGTATCTGTGCATCTGTGTGTCTGTGTCTGTGTGTCCGTGCCTGTGTGTCCGTGTGTCTGTGTGTCCATCCGTGTGTCTGTCCATATGTCTGTGTCCGTGTGTCTGTGTGTCCATCCGTGTGTCCATGTCTGTGTGTCCATGTGTCCATCCGTTTGTCAGTGTCTGTGTGTCCGTGTGTCCGTGTGTCAGCCCACGAGTCGGTACACAGGTCAGTCCCTGTGTCCGTGTGTCCACGTGCCTGTGTGTCTGTCCGTGTGTCCATCCACGTGTCCACGTGCCTGTGTGTCTGTCCGTGTGTCCATCCATGTGTCCATGTGTCTGTGTGTCAGTCCATGTACTGGTACACAAGTCAGTCCGTGTGTCTGTGTGTCTGTCTGTGGGTCTGTCTCTGCGCCTGTCTGTGTGTCCGTGTGTCTGTCCATGGGTCTGTGTGTCTGTCTGTGTGTCCGTGTGTCTGTCTGTGGGTCTGTGTGTCGCTCCATGGGTTGGTTCATGGGTCTGTTTATGTGTCCCTGTGTCCGTGTGTCCATGCTCGTGTCTGTCCATGGGTCCATCCCGGTGTCTGTGTGTCCGTGGGTCTGTCCGTGGGTCTGTCCGTGGATCCGTCCCCGTGTCCGTGTGTCTGTCCGTGGGTCCATCCCGGTGTCTGTGTGTCCGTGTGTCTGTCCGTGTGTCTGTCTGTGGGTCCGTCCCCGTGTCCGTGTGTCTGTCCGTGGGTCCATCCCCGTGTCCGTGTGTCCGTGGGTCTGTCCGTAGGTCTGTCCGTGGATCCGTGTCCGTGTGTCTGTCCGTGGGTCCATCCCCGTGTCCGTCCCTCCCCTCCCCTCCCTCCCCGCCCCGCCCGGCGCTTCTGCGGCGTCCAGCGGCGGCGCGGCCTTGGGGCGGCGGGTCCGGTCTGCTCGGGGGCCCCCACCGGACTGGGAACCGCCTTTCCCGGACCCCTCCGGCACCGCCACAGCGGGCACCCCGCAGATCCGGGATCCATTCCGATCCATCCCGGATCAACCCGGATCCATCCCGGGATCCATCACGGATCCATCCCTGGTCCCTCCCGCCCCTTCCCGGGATCCATACCCCGCTCCGATCCTCCATCCCGGATCCTCCATTCCGGTCCCCCAGACCCATTCGCCGGTCCCCCTTCCCGTACCCCGGATTCTTCCCCCCCCTCGGTTTAGCGGACAGCCCCATCGCCTCCACCCCCGTTACCGCCAGGCCGGGGGCTCCCCGGAGCCACCGGGCCCCGTGCTCCCGTGCCCCCATGGCCCCGGTAGGGCGAGGGGCCCGACCCCCGGAAGCAGTAGATGGGAACGTCCGTGGGGCTGAGCCCCAGGTTACCCGCCGGGGGTTCGCAGGGGGGGGGGGGAGGGATTGGGAGGCACAGGAGGGGGGGCTCTGGGTGATGCTGGGCTGGACTGGGCTGGACTGGGCCATACTGGGCTGTGCTGGGCCAGACAGGGCTGGACTGGGCGGTGCTGGGGCTGTATTGGCTTGTACTGGGCCTTACTGGGCTGTGTTGTCCTGTACTGGGATGTACTGGGTCATACTGGGCTGTGCTGTCATGCAGTGGCCTGTACTGGGCCATACTGGGCTGTACTGGGCCATACTGGGCCAGGCTGCCCTGTAGTGGCCTGGACTGAGCCATGCTGGAATGTACTGGGCCATACTGGGCTGGGCTGTCCTGGGTCTGTATTTGGTCTGTATTGGTACATACTGGTCTGTACTGGGTTGTGACATGTCTGTGGTAGTGTGTACTGGGCCACACTGGGCCGTGCTGGGCTGTACTGGGCTGTACTGGGCTGTACTGGGCTGTTGGGCTGTACTGGGATGTAGTGGACTATACTGGGATGTACTGGGCCTGTACTGGGATATGCTGAGTCTTACTGGGTCGTGCTGGACCATACTGGTCTGGACTGGGTCTGGACTGGGCTGTGCTGCCCCATACTGGTCTGGACTGGTCCATACTTGGCCATGAACTCCTCTGCTCGTCCATACTGGGCCATGCCGGGTTCTACGGGGCCACACTGGGACGTGCTGAGTGTTACTGGGTTGTGCTGGATCATACTGGGCCATACTGGGTCATACTGGGCCGTACTGGGTCATACTGGGCCATCCTTGGCCATACTGGGCTGTGATGGCCTGTACTGGCTTTTACTGGGCTGTACTGGTTTGTACTGGTCCATGCTGGGCTGTGCAGTCTGTACAGGCTCTCATTGGGCTATACTGGGTTGTACTGGGCCATACTGGGCTGTGCTGGGAGGTACTGGGCCATACTGGGTCATACTGGGCCGTGCTGGGCCTCATTAGACCATGGATGGGTAATGGATGCTCCAGAGTATGAGCAGCAGATACCGGTCTGGACTGGGCCATACTGGGGTGTGTGGAGCCGTACTGGGCTGTTCTGGGCTGTACTGGGCCATGCTGGGCTGTGTGCTGCTGTACTGGTCTGTACTGGTGGATAGATTTGGGTCTGTACTGGTCTGTACTGGTCTGTATTGGTCCGTACTGGCCCCTCCCCTGTCCCCACAGGCCCCGCGGCGACGCCCAGACGGGACCAACATGGAGCCCTGAGACGAGGTAACGGGATCACTGGGGTCACTGGGATCACTGGGATCACTGGAATCTCCCTGGAGCTCATGGGAACACTGGGGTCACTGGGATCACTGGGATCTCCCTGGAGCTCATGGGAACACGCAGGATCACTGGGATCTCCCTGGAGCTCATGGGAACACGCAGGATCACTGGGATCGCATGGAAACACATAGGGCACATGGGATCTCATAGGATCTCATAGGACAAATGGGATCTCGTGGGGTCTTTTGGATCTCATGGGATCCCCTGGGTCAGGTGGCACCCCACGGGAACGCACAGGGCGTGTGGGGTGCCACAGGATTCCGAGAGCTCTCAGGGGGATCCCTGGTGATCTGAGGGGGTCTGGTGGGATACGACAGGTCCTGGTGGGATCTGACACATCCTGGGAGGCCGGGCAGGGTCCCCTGACCCCCCAGCGCCCCCTGA